CTCTCTCTGCCTGCCTCTCTGCCTATTTGTGATCTCTCTCTCTCTCTGTCAAATAAATAATTAAAATCTTTAAAAGAACACAAAACTGAACATACACTGAGACCCTATATAGCCTAAGAAAGAGAAGGCTCTTTAGGAACTATTATGCGAAGACCTTCAACAAATAAGCGAAACATGTAAGGTGCAAAACAGTATATAACATTTCACCATTTGTGGAAAAAAGGAGGGATGGAAAGTAAATATATATATTAACTTGTGGTGTAAGTATGGAATTATATTGGAACAATCTACAAGAAACTAGTAATGTTAGTTGCCTTGATTTGGGGTAGCTGGGTCAAGTGTTGCAATGAGCATCCTCTTATACTTTTTGAATTTTGAATCAAGAGAACATATTACATTAAAAAGAATTTTTTTTTTAACATACCTACCCCTAGGTCCAACAATTTCACTTTTAGGAACTGTGCCAATGGGGAAAACATTAAATGACTGGGTAAATTTTCAATGATAAATATTATATATTTTAAATATTGTAATATTTGTAACATCAATAGGGAAAAATTTGTAAGTTTTTAATATTATGTTTTCATTTATAATATGGAAAAATAGAAAAGAACTTATATGTTCCAAAACAGGATTGATTATAAGAACAGTGCTGCTGGGGCGCCTGGGTGGCTCAGTGGTTAAGTGTCTGCCTTCAGCTCAGGATCATCCCAGGGTCCTCGGATCAAGCCCTGCATGGGGCTCCCTGCTTGGCGGGAAGCCTGCTTCTCCGTCTCCCACTCCCCCTGTTTATGTTCCCTCTCTGGCTATCTCTCTCTCTGTCAAATAAATAAATAAAATCTTTAAAACAAAACAAAAAAAAACAGTGCTGCTTTCAAATGATGAAATTCTCTGTAGTCATTTAAACGATCTTGGAGAGGGGCACGTGGGTAGCTCAGTGGACTAAGATCTTGGAGAGGGGCACGTGGGTAGCTCAGTGGACTAAGCGTCTGCCTTTGGCTTAGGCCATGATCCTGGAGCCCTAAGACAAGCCCCCAGACAGGCTCCCTGCTCTGCAGGGAGTCTGCTTCTCTTTTTCCCTCTCCTTCTGCCTCTGCCCCTCCCCCTGCTCACATGCTTTCTTTCCCTCTCTTTCTCTCAAATAAATAGATAAAATCTTAAAAAAAAAATTATCCTGGAGAAATGTATTCATGATGTAGAAAAATGTTGATGAGACTTTGCTGAGTTTTTAAAAGGCAAATAATAAGCACTGTATTTTGTCATTTTAAAGAAAATGTATAGGAAAAAAATTATAGGGACATTGAAAAAAAGTCTGGAATGTGGTTTACCAACATTTGGCAGTATTTCTCTGGTATCATTATGGTATTTCTAATCTTCTTTCAATTTATCTATATCTTCTGACTTTTTTTAAACAATGAACATGTATTATTATGATTAATGGGGGTGGGGGGAGCCAGGGCACAGATGTGGTCTCTAAAGAGCATTTCCTACTAAAAGGAAACAAACAAACAAAAAAAAAATAAAATAAAATAAAATAAATAAAAGGAAACAAGTGTCCTCAGAGAAATGGCTGATGCTCTGCTGACTACAGAAAGCAGGATAGCTATCAGAGGAGTCAAATGGATTTAGGAGCCGATCTAAAGAGGTTCCCAAGGGCTAGCGATAAGAGAATGAATATGGGCTTCAGTAAGAAGAAAAACAGCAAAGGATTGAAACTCATCAAGTATGCATTAATGACGATTTTTTTTTTAATTTGTCAGAGAGGGTGAGCATAGGCAGACAGAGTGGCAGGCAGAGGCAGAGGGAGAAGCAGGCTTCCCGCTGAGCAAGGAGGCCAATGCGGGACTCCATCCCAAGACTGTGGGATCATGACCCGAGCCAAAGGCAGCGGCTCAACCAACTGAGCCACCCAGGCATCCCATTAGTGACGATTTTAAAAGAATTCTCTTGCCTGGATCTATCATGCAATGGATAGCACATTGAACTTCTAAAAATAATTCTCTTTGAGGGGAAGTTAGGGATTCATTATTCTGAAAACTGATAAGTAAAAGAAACATTTAATCTGCCTATTTTACATAAATTGTACCTCAGGGTAACCCCTATTTGGTGAGGGGAGGTGTCTCTTTATAGAAGTGTTCCAGTTAATAAAATGAAGAAGTAATGGTATGCCTTTGTGGCTCAGTCAGTTGAGTGACCAACTTTTGGTTTTGGCTCAAGGTCATGATCTGGCATCTAGAGCTCAGAGAATCAGGCTCTGAGCTCAGCTAGTAGTTTGCTTTTCTCTTACTTCTCCCTGTCCCTCTCCTTGTGCCCCTCCCTCTGCCCTTCTTCTCCTCTCCGCCCACGCTCAGTGCTGGCGTGCTCTCTCTCTCTCTCTCTCTCAAACAAATAAATCTTTAAAATGAAGAAGGAATGATAGAATATCACCATTTTGCAAACAATGAAACAGTAGATTTAGGTAATGATAACATTAACAGCAACCAACATTGCAATAAAAGAAAAATCAAATCATCCAATTCTTTAAAAAGTAAAAGAAAAAAAAAAACTGATGAAAAAAGGAACCTTGAGAGACATTTCCAGCAAATGCAATGTGTGAACGTTTGAACCTTGATCCAAACAGACTGAATGTAAGATACCATTCAGGAGACAATGAAGAAATTTATACACTAACTGGATATTTGACATTAAAGTATCGTGATAATACTGTGATTATGTTTTTACTTCTAAAGGTATATATGAAAATGTTTACAAATAGAATACGATGTCCAGGATTTCCTTTACAATAATCTAATAGGGCCCAGTGGAAGTGGCTTAAGGGTATACTTGAAATTAGCCATGGGTTGGTCATTGTTGAATTGAAGTTATCAGTGCATAGAGCTTCATTACATTAGTCCCTCTACTTTTGGAAACATTTGAAATTTTCTGTAATAAAACAAAAGAAAAAATAATGAAAGCTGCACCCCACCCCCCTCCCCCCTAAAAAGTGTGGTGGGGATAAGGCCTGTCAGCTTTTCTTCTTGGGACAGTAGGGAAGGGGCATTGAAGACACTGAGTAGCACTTGAACCGGTGTAGGGATGAAGGTCCTAAGGGTTTGACCCAGTGACAGCAGCCTTGGAATCAGCTGCAGCCTGAAGCTGGTGATGAAGAAAGGAAAACCAAGAAGTTGGATTGAGCCTCGGGGGCTTAAAAGTTGCAAGGCCTTAACCTGTTGAACTTTTTTGAGCAACAACCCTGTAAACAATCATGAGTCCTTAACTCTGCAACAGAAGAGAAAAAAAAAAAGAGCTGTTTTGCTCATTTAATAAACATGGGTTACACACACGACACTGTGCTCGCTGAGGTAGGTTCCTAAAGACAGCAAAGACACATCCTTGTAGTCATGAAACTCCCAGTATTGTAAGAAGACTAAAAAAACCCCTCGATTTGGAAAGCAGTATTGCTGGTGTAACATTAAGGTAGAAGCATAACATACACAAGCAACATAGAAAACAGGAGGGGAATCTAAGTTTGTCTTCAGGAACCAGAGGCTTCACAGAAGAAAGAGCTTTTGAGATAAAATTTGAAGACTAAGTTGGTGTTTGCCAGGACGAGAGCCAGGAGCAAGCGGATTTCAGAAAGAGGGAAAGGAATTTGCAAGACATAACATGAAACTACAAAGGCATATTCTGGGAACTACAAGTACCTGTTTTGCTGGAGCACAATGTAAGGGTCCTAGGACCTGTTCTCTAGCCTGCCATGAAGACGATAACTTACCTCCCTTATTCTAGACCTGGGACAAGGGGATCGCCTTAAGCATTCCTTTAAGTTTTTAAAACTGGTTTCCTGTTGGGAAAGGGACAGGACATCTCACTTAGAGGGGAGCTATGGATTGTGGGCCCGGCTGCATTTTAGAGCAGTTTTAAAATGCAGTCCAAGAGAGGCTGATAACAAAAAGGAAAAGTGAGAAGGTGTTTTATTTTTTTTAAGATTTTATTTATTTGAGAAAGAGAGCAAACGGTGGGGAGGGGCAGAGGGAGAGGAAGAAGCAGACTCCAAGCTACATGACTGGATCCCAGGAACCTGAGCCTGGACTCAGGATCTGAGCCGAAGGCAGACCCTCAACTGAGCCACCCAGGCGCCCGAAATTCGAGAAGGTTTAAGGCCCAACAGAAACCCTTGCTGTGAGTTGGCAACATTCTACTTCCTTCAATTATAGATCCTTGTAGAAGGAGGAAGATGAGTCAGTCAGAAATTAATGGTCTCAACTTTTTTCTGCAGCAGTAATAAGGCTTTGTATCCACGGCAGTTTTAAATGGCCTACCTACCACCCAGCGTTTATTTCCAAACAAATCCTTTTCTCTTTATTTATTTATTGCTGTACAATGTAAGCGCTCATCTAAATAGGTAGTTTGATGCACTTATTTCAAAACTACTGATTATACATAAAATACCATAATAGAAAAGGTTGCTGTTGAGTGCAGTGCTGGAGAGAAGTGACAAGAAATCAATTAGCATTACAAAATCGGTCCCAAAGCGTGTGCGGAAAACAGCAGTAGCTTGGTTCTAAACAAGCAAGGCCTGTGCCATGCGCCTGGGATTGCACTGTACATTCTTCATAAAGATCGGCTGAGCGACTTTACATAGCCGTGCTCCCACGCCTCTCGACCCGCTCACGGAGGAGCTTCCCGTTTCTCCGACAGTCACTTCCCCTTGCTTGGGGGGTGTGGAGGGGGGGCTCGAGGTCAGGTTACACAAGCTCGACCCCTGGCCACCGCGCCCTGCCTGGCTCGAAAGGACGCGTGAGCGGCTAGCACCCGGTCTATGCGTCCGCGGGAGCCTCGGGGTCGCGGACCGCCTGCCTTCGAGCGATGGGTAAGACACAGGCACCAGAGCCAGGGGGCAGTCTTCAGCCCGCGCACGTAGCGCCGGAGGGGCCAGGGAAGGTCCCGCCCCACTCTCCGCCCCCTTCCTCGCTCCGCCAGGTGCGCGTGCGCCGCAGCCCCGCCCGCCGATCCGCCTGGCTCCTATCCCGCTCGGCGGCAAGCGCCTGGTTCTTAACTCCCTTCAGCGGCCTCGCACGCGCGCGGTTCCAGCCCCGGCCTCCTCCTCGTCGGCTTGGCTGTGGGGCCATGGCGTGTCGGCGGCGGCCCGAGGCTGGCGTCGGGGCCCGCGGCGCGCTGGCGCTGCTGGCGCTGGCTCTGAACGTGCCGGGGGCCAGGGGCCGGGCGCTCGAGTGGTACTCGGCTGTGGTGAGCACCGAGTACGTGGACCCGCACACGAACCGCACCGTGTGGAGCGTCTCGGAGAGCGGCCGCTTCGGCGACAGCTCGCCCAAGGAGGGCGCGCAGGGCCTGGTGGGCGTCCCGCGCGCGGCGGACCGCGACCCCGAGGGCTGCGCGCCAGACACTCGCTTCCTCGTGCCGGCGCCCGGCGGCCGGGGGGACGCGCCCTGGGTGGCCCTAGTGGCGCGCGGGGGCTGCACTTTCAAGGACAAGGTGCTGGTGGCGGCGCGGAGGAACGCCTCGGCCGTGGTCCTCTACAACGGGGAGGGCCACGGGAACCTCACCACGCCCATGTCCCACGCGGGTGAGCGGAGGCCGGGGGACGCGGGGAGGCGGCGGGGGAAACTCTGTAGCTTAGTCATGGGCGACGGCCCTCTCGACCTCGGCCTTGATCCCCAGGGGCACGCCGCGAAGGGGCTGGGGGCACGCCGCGAAGGGGCTGGGGGCGCGACTCTGATGACTTTTGGCAGTCAGGAACTGGGAGGGAAGCTCTGGATGGGCGCGCCGTGACCCACCCCCCCGGGGGGGGGCTTTTTGGGCCGTAGGCGGGCCTGATTAGATCTTCGCCTTGGGCTCTTCAGGTGCAGGGGGGGTGCCCTCCGGAGGCCCTTCAGGTGTAGGGGAGAACGAAAGAAATAAACACCCACCCGAAGAGGACTGTGGTGGAAATTCTCATGATTGCTCAATCATGGGTCACTTTCCATTCATCGTTTTCACAAAGTCAAGTGAGGTAGGAATTGAAGCTCGCTCCTAGCTCACTCCCAAGGTCTGGTAGTCCCTTCACCAATGTCAAGTGGTTGTTTGGTAGGGCTCTGGTTTCTCCACTTTCATAAAACGTGAGTGTATTCTGAACTTCTGAGTCAGAAAAGCTGGATTTAAGTGCGGATATGCTTTCTCACTTTCTACATGTAAGGTTGTAATAACCGGCCCTACTGCCAGTCCTCGAGTCTTGAGTTTAGATGAAATTTTTCAGGTTATGTTCATTCAGGTAAAGGTCTTGCTCTTTGCCAGGAGACGCTTCCCACACACCTATTCTCCAGGGCAACAGGTTGCGTCTTCAAGCCCTGGTGACAGTTTGAGAATCTAATTTTGCAAGATGTCCTCCTCAGAACTGAAATCCGAGTGCTATAGGACCTGAACCCAGCAGAGTGAACATTTTTCTGTTATGATTTTTAAGATCATGACTCATTCTGAATTTATTGTGATTAAAGTCTTTTTTAAAGTTGCTGCTGCTGCAAGTCAGACATCCTATTTCCTGTACTTTTGTTTTTCATTCTGCTTTGATTTCTCAAAAGCAAGTTCGAACTTTAATGTCAGAAAAGAGACTTTGGATTTGGTCTGTTTTAGCTGCGATGGGAATAGAAATCAGTTGAGAGGTGAGAAAATGGAGAGTGTTAGAACAATTCTTTCAAGCACAGCTCAAGATGTGCTGAGAAGTGTGCAGAAACTATGGGACAAGGGGTGGTTAGGGTGGATGATGGTAGGGCATATTGAAATTGGATGGGAGTGATGTGGTAGAGATCGAGCAGAGAGAAGTAACCCCAAGAGTCCGCTCTTAAGAGGGCCATGTCTAGGGTACTTCGGAGGGGGTCGCCTTAGACAGTAGAGGGAAATTCTCAGTTGCAACAGAAGGAAGTGGTTTTGGAAGAGGAAGTAGGAGCAGAGGCCTGTGTGGGGTGGCGTTGGGTGAGGCGCCACCTTTGGTGCAGCTATTCCAGTGATTACAAGTCTACCAAATTGTCATTGTACCCAAGCCATGTTTCCATAAAACTACCATGAAAAGCCCTGTCAGATTTCAGAGACCATTCCTGATACATCCTATTGATGGTGTTTTCCCAATTTTAGTAGTCCTTTTTTTTTTTTTAAAAGATTTTATTTATTTATTTGACCGAAAGAGAGAGAAAGAGCACAAGCAGGCCGAGAGAGAGGGAGAAGCAGAATCCCTAAAGAGCAGGGAGCCCAATGCAGGGTTCATGCCCAGCACCCTGGGACCATGACCTGAGCTGGAAGCAGTTGCTTAACTGATCGAGCCACCCAGGCGCCCCCAATTTTAGTAATTTTGTCAAAGAAAAGAGGTTAGTGTGTCAGGATTCTCTGAGTCTGGGTCCTTGCAGTCTCTTCTGAGTCTACAACATCTTCATTTGGACCTTTTCTTTTCAATGGCTGGCTCAGGGACTACAATTTCCTAAATCTGTTTACTGCATTTTTTGATAATGATGTTAGTTAGCATTTTTCCAGGGTACTAGCACTTGCTCTAACCATGGGTCAGCCACCTTGCTTATGTTATTTGACATAATTTAGCCAGGCCCCAAAAAACACCTCGTTGATGTTTATTTTAAATCCTCCTGAGTTTCTCTTCTATTATCAACGTCCATTCTAGTCTTTTTACCCTGAGAATCATTCTGTTTGAGAAAAGAGATAAAAGTAACAGCTTTAGCAATTTTTTTTTTAATGTGTGGAAGTACCCAGTGTGTAGGCAGTGTGCTCAGTGCTCTCCATACAGTGGCTCCCTTAACCCTCCTGACAGCCTTTTAACATAGGTGCTCTAACCCCATTCTGTGGATGAGGAAACTGGTCCATGGTAAGGGTGGGGGTCTATACATAGCCAGATCATTCTTTGTTGTGGGAGGGGCTGGCTCTTCTGTGTGTTAATGGGATGTTTAGCATCCCTGGCCTCTGCCTACTAGATTGCAACAGTACTTACCCAATTGTGACAACCAAAAATGTGTCCAGGTAATACCAAGGTGGGGGGTACTGATGACAGAATCATCCAATGTTTTGAACCACTGACTTACAGGGAGATTAATTTGGTAGCGTTGTGACCAGCGGTTTAAACAGAGAAAAATCTGCAGACTCTAGCCCATTGGGCTGATCCAAGGAGAAATAAAATTGACCCTTGAACAACACAAGGCTTAGAGGTATCAACCCCCTGTGCAGTGGAAAAGATTTTCCGTATAACTTTTGACTCCCCCAAAACTTAACCACTGATAGCCTCCTGTTGACTGGGCATTTTACCAATAACATAAACAGTAAACACATTTTATATGTTATTATGTATTGCACACTGGATTCTTATAATGTAAGCTAGAGAGAAGGAAATGTTATATTAAAATCAAAGAGAAAATACATTTACTATACTGTACTGTATTGGGGGGAAAATCCTTGCATAAGTTAACCCACACATTTCAAACCTGTGTTGTTCAAGTGTCAACTGTATAAAGGCCAATACTGTAGCAGTGACTGTAGGAATGGAAAGGTATGACCTTCACAGAACTTGGCCCAACTGGGAAAAAAGGTACAGATGTATCATGACTTTTTGAGAATGGAATAGCATTAAGAATTGGAATGAATAGAATTAAGTCAGAAGACAAACTGGCTTTGACATACTTGAATTTGAAATGTTACATAGAACCTTGAATGTAGCTCAAGTTAGGTTTCTTGGATTTTGTCAGAATGTGGCTGGCGGCAGGAAAAACCACAGATTTCGGTGGTTTCGATGCTCCTGTGTAGCACTCGAGTTATGCAGAACAGTTAAGAGATGGCTGCTTGTAAAAATGAATCATGAGTCTTTTCCCAAATCTCAGGGAGAATTTCTGCAGTTTTTCTTAAGCCTGTTGCTTGACTGTACTAAATCCAGTACAAGATATTTTGGGTATAAATCAGTGTTTTATTGTGTTTCTAAAAATAAAATGATTTTAAGATAATCTGTGAGAACAACTATAAGGACTGTTGAACTAATTAGTTTCCTGTTAATTAATTCTTTTTACTTTAGCAGACAGAATAATGAGTAGCCACTTTGGGCTAAGTATTGTGCTTGCTCAGGTATAGAAGTGCATGACACATGCCTGCCTTTGAGGAGTTTGTGACCTGGTGGGGGTGATAAACAACCTTCCAGACAATATGGTTTGGGTCTTGATGGAATTAACACACATGGTTGCTTAGGAAGCATAAAGGAAGAACATCTAAAACAGATACTGCAGGGGTGACTAGAAGTTAGTTTGACCAAGATGAGTAAAAATTGATACAAGTCAAATCATTAAAACAGAAGTTCTTAGGGATCCCTGGGTGGCTCAGTTGGTTAAATGTCTGCCTTCAGCTCAGGTCATGATCCAAGTTCTGGGATAGAGTCCCTGCTCCTGAGCAGGGATCCTGCTTCTCCCTCTGCCCTGCCACTCCCTCGCTTGTGTGCACTCTCTGTCTCTGACAAATAAATAAAATCTTTTTTCAAAAAAGAAAGGGAAAGAAACTTGAAAAAAATAAAAGTTTTTGTAGAGCCTTGGCCTTACTTAGTTTGATTATTGTTGGTTAACAAATAGGATGATCCTTTAGCTGAAATCTTGTCATGTTCTTTTAAGCATAGATTCATTCATTCACTTTGTATATGTTAACTTCATTCATTCTGTTAACAGCTGTTTACTGAGTGCCAGCTACTGGCAAGGCTTAGAGCTATGTTTGAAGAAGGGGCCGGTGTTGGGGTGGAGGAAAATGACAAAAATGTAGAAGTCCCTAGTGTTATAGAAGATGTGCATTTTGCATTTGCAGAGCATGATAAATAGTTTATGAATAATAAATTTTTGATGTTGTATATCAACATGATGATGATGTGCTCTACTCAAACGATCTAAAAATGTGGATTTTAATTATGTATTTTGGTGCTGTAGGAAAACAGAAATGGCACCTCACAGCCACACGTAGAAGGTGGGTTTAACTAGGATGGTTCCCAGAAAGATAGAGTTTGGAAGGATATGTTGGTGGAGAGGGTGTGTCTGAGTGTGAAAGGGGGGAGGTGGGCTATAGGCATTCTTGGTGGTGGGAATAGCATTGCAAGAGACTGAAGCCTTGAAATAAAGTAATGCATTTAGGAACCCTGCAAAGAGTTGTATATTCAACAAATACAAAATATTTTTGAGCAAGTCAAATTATCTAAAACATAATTTAAATTTCCAAGAAAAGAATTAAACATTTGTTTTTTGTGCCCTCCCAACACTCCCTAGTCATAAAACGTTTCTGTTTCGCATAATAGCTTCAGATCTCAGAGACATTTGCATTCATATTGGGTGTACCATTTCTATTAATATTCTCCGTATCGGGGCATTTCAACTATAATACAGCCAGTTTTTCAAATGGATTCATCCATACAGAAACTCTTCTATGGGTCACCACTGCATGATACTTGGCTACAAAAACTAATAAATAAGAACAGGTAATACTTGTCTAGTGAGGGAGAGAAACCTATAAAGAAATTCTGGTAGGTGTTTTATACACCTACTAGAGCTGTGTCTAAGAGGAACTGATGCATCGCAG